CATGTCCTAGCTTCCCCACGAACATAAATCTCTATGTATTAAAGTGAGTTTTCATTTCTCTTGTGGTTAAAAGCCCTGAGGCTTTTTAAGGGTTGTAAATGTAAGCATTGGCTTCAGGTGTCACTTGAGGCACTGAGAAATTTGTGTTTTGGGACCTTGTAGAGCATTTTACTGTGCTTATTACAGTTTGCCATGATTATTTTGCTGGAAATAACCTCACAGCAGTACATCTTCAGAGTCCCTGAGGAGCACAGTATTCGCTCAATGTCAGGGAAATGTTCATTGCTATGCATTGTGTCCCTTCATAATGTGCATTTCTCCATGAGCACCATGTCAGCTCTCCCCATTTGTTTTCCAAGAGGAGCTGGTACAGGGGTGATAGGGAATCACATTTGAATCCTTCAGCTAGAAAGAGTCTCTTTGGGTTGAAGACACAATTACAACTACCTGAGCTTACTTTTCTGACTTCAACAATCCCCTCACACCGGTGGTCATGGAGAAACTTTTCTTCTTTTAGAGTTACAAGTGTATTGTGTCCATTATCTTCTCATTTTGCTCTCCTGATTACATCTGTTACTGTCATTGGCATTGTCAGAACTCATGGACGTATTTTCTAGTAAATTCCTTTTAAACCACTGACAAAATACTGGAACAGGGAAATGTGGCCAGTGTCTGTTTATTCACAGCACCTTATTTTTCCCTAATAACTGCTTTCTTTTTCCTGTCATATTCTTTTGAACCTCAACTTGAATTATTGGGTCAGTCTGTCGAAAACTTAATCATGGAGAAAAGTTATCCAGTGAATATATAATGGTGCAATTCATGAAGAATAACACCTGGTCTTCCATCTTAGAAGAAATCTCCAAATTGCCTGGTGATAAAGATCAGCCTGAAAAACAGAGGAGATATTTGAAGTGAGTGTTATTCATACAAGGGAAGACAGTGCCTTAGGAGAAAGTCCTTAAGGTGTCATAACATTATATACTTACATGAGTGTGTATGTATATGCATGTTTGGTAAAGTTAGAGGGTCAGTAAGGAACAGGAACACCATCAACAAGATAGTCACACAGTGGGTGCAACAGTGGTTTCAAATATAGTAACAATTGTGAGGATGACCTAGGAGCAGACAGTGTTTCATTCTTTTATACACAGGTCACCATGAGTCAGAACTGACTCAGCGCCACCTGACAAGAACAATATATGTAAAGCTAGCTGTACAATTAAATGATCAGACAATTTTCACAATACAGCATTTTTTTACACGCGAGTCAGGTATTGACTTGGGAACAGATTTACTTTCAGCACAATTATCAGAAAGCCACATATTTTAGAAAAATAGTGCCAGTAATGGTAGTATTTCTGGTATATGATTTAACCTACAAA